GGATGAACCTCGTGCCACCAACCTGGCTGCTGCAGGACGGGAGGTCACTCCCTGCCTCTGGCTTTGACTCTTTCCCTGTGCCTCAGTTTCCCCAGTTATGGAGCTTGGGGCTGAGCCTGGTGTCTGTCCTACCTGGCCCGTTGCAAATGCAATTCCTCCCTTTCAACCCTGTTCATCCCAGACGCTCAACCACCCTGGGTTTTTCCATCTAGAAGTGATGGAGTCGACCCCGCTGCTTGCCTGATTCCCGCAGCAATTCCCCTCGGGGCCCTGAGAGCGGCCCTGACCCTGGGACACCATCCTGACCTGCCAGGAACACAACTGGCTGCCCGAGCCCCCGAAACGAGAGGAATGACCTAAAAATAGCCCAGGCTGGAACAAACTGGTGTTTGAATGGGAACTTTGTCCTCCCAGCGTGAAGGCTGCTCCTCTGGGTGCCGGGTCAGGGTCCGGGATGGAGACCCGAGGAAGGACCAGGGATGGGGATGGGTGACAAAGGGAAATGGCTTTTGCCGGCCCTTTGCAAAGGATGGGACCTCTGGGATAGAGCCGTTGCCTTCCGTGTGGGATCTGGAGCTGGCGTGGGGCCACCCAGGAGCCCAGGCTCGGCCCCCTGGGAGCCTGCGGGCTGCTGCTGCCTTCTGCTGGTGTTGGGATAAGGAGTTTGGGTTGGGTTTTTTAATTTATTTATTTGCATCTCTCTAGATTGCCATGGTGTTTGTTTGTTTACCTAATATTTTCCCTTGCTTGTAGCCAGGCAAAATGCCACAGGGCTCCAGGCTTGGCAGAATTTGCAGTTTGGGGGTGGGGGGCAAACTGAGGCATGGGGCTAAAGGGAAGCAATAGGGCTGAGGACCCCCCTGCCCTGGTGGTGGGGGGGGGGGGGTAAAGGCACCCTGTTCTAGGGACACCCAACCCGGGGGAGGCTTTAAGGAAAAGCTGGGTGGTCTCCTGGTTGATGGCCCCAGGGCTCGGCGGCAGAGCGAAGGGTCCGAGCATCGGTGGTTGGTGTTTGCTGTCCTGGCGCTTGTCCCCTGGGGAAATGAGCCAGGGACAAATGTCCCCTGGGCATTTGACATGGGGCTTAAACGTCCCCTGTGCTGCAGGCGTCCTTGCACCTGCAATGGCAACAGTCCTGCCTGGCAAAGCATCGCGGCTCGGGCAGAGGGGCCATGTGGGACCAGGACCCTGGTGCCACCCATGTCCCTGCAGCGTGCCTGGGCCAGCGCCGGGGAGGGGACAGGCTGGGAGACCCTTGGGGAGGGCAGGGGCAGCGGGGATGGTCGTCAGCTCAGCGTCCCCTCGCTGTAGGGTTGCCCTGGTGCAGGGCTTCCAGGGCTGATGGGTTTTTCTGCCAGGACATGCTGCTGGAGTCCAGTGCACCCCGGTACGTGATGCTCCCCCCATTATCGCCCGATGCCAAGCCGGGCTGGGACCCACCTTTGCTGCAGGGCAGCTCGCTGGAGCCAGGCAGAGCTTAGTGCTGCTCCTTGGGTAATGTTAAATAATTCAGAGAGGGGGCAGGTGATGCCTTGGCCGACTGGCTGCTGAGCGGGGACCGACACCCCAAAACGCTGCTGACCAGAGGAATTAATCCTTTTCTTGGCCATTTGTCCCCCAACACGATGCCTTTGGCTGCAGCTCATCATGCCACTGCATTTATCTGAAGGAGCTGGGACCTCTGCAAGACCCAGCTCCCTGGGACAGGGTTATTTAAAGTGCGTTTTGGCGTGACCCTAATGGGAATGGACAAGGCGAGGAGCCTGGGGCTGCCCTGGCCGTGTCTGACAGCCCGTGTTGGCTTGGAGAAATAATGTCATGTTCTACTCTGCCTCATTGTTCTAAGTAAATCAAGTTGCTGTGACAGGTTACAGAAAAGCAGCTCCAGCGGTGGTCATTTCCCAACTATCGGGGGTCGATTTCTGCGGTTCCTCTATAATTTTTGCTTTACAGTACATTGAGATTCAATACTTGGAGCAGCTTGAAAACAAACTGGCCAAAGGCAAGGTGTCAGTAAGATGCAATGACTTGTCTCTGGAGCAATTTGAATTAATGTTGCTTTTAGCATGTGAATATAGATGCGTGCCCGAGTGACAATGAGGTCATGTAACCCTTCCCTTTCTGTCTGTTGGGGAAACTGAGGCACAAGGGAGGGTGGCACCGCAGCCAGCCCCAGGGCTGCCCCTGCCCATAGGGATGCTTTTCCAGTTCCCAGTCTCCAGCTGCCCTAACTGGGCCAACTGGCTTTTGTTCTCTGTCGGGCTGGTGGCCAAGATGCCCCATCAGCTTTCTGCTTGGTATTTCTGTCCCTCCTAAAGATGCTGCGGTCAGAAAAAAAAATGAGACAGGACAAAAAAAGAGCTGGGTTAGACATCTCCCCTGCTCCAGTTCAATCCAATTCACTCAGGGTTTGGCAGCAGCTACCGAGCAGAAACCCTCATCTGAGCTCACCTCAAATGCAATAGCTCAAAAAGGGTTTTATATCAAGTGATGACGCTTTAGGGAAAACTTGGACTCTGGGGCTCCCTTTTGGCCCCTTCCCACGCATGTCCCCTGCTGGGAATGGTTTAAAGTATCTGAAGCCACCAAGAGCAGAGGAAAATGCAGCCGGTGGCAGAGCCCAGAGCGGGGCTGGTGAGAGCTCCAGCGGTCGTGGCACAGCCAGCACCAGCTCTGCCAGGGATGCACTGGTCTGGCTTCAATCAGAAAAAGCAAACTGCCACAAAGCCAGGCTGGGGAGAGAGAGAAGATGAAAAAAGGCTTCAGGGCCAGGGAGGTAGTTTTGTTTGAAAATTTATTGAAAAATGCAATACAAGAAGCAATACTGAACACTTATGTCTGTCTAAATGCTACAGCGACTTTCCCTTTGATTTACTATGAAAGTCCAAAATAACAGCTCCTATCACTAGTGAATCTATAAAGATTTGCCAATTTTAAAAGTTCCTATTTTTATAAAGAAGAGTGTAAATGGCTAGCCTAGACAATTCACAATTGCCTTAAAAAAATTGTACAAAGCTCCTTCATATTCTCAACTAAATTATTTTATTTTTTTTTTTACAAGTTTCATCTCTAAGGCTGGGACACTACCACCTCTTAAGGTAATTGTACAATTAGGAAAATCAGCAAACCACAGTTTATTAAAACCAGAAATCAGTCAGTCCTTTGCTAACACATCTGTGTGGTCAGAGATTGCTATTTGGCAACCGGAGCTGCCATTCCAGTTTAATGGAGGAGAACATGAGCTCCTTGCCTTCCTTTCTATAAAAACATTCATTCATATATAAATAGCTTCCATATAATGTATATTATACAATCAAGACAGTCTCTGGGTGAATTTGTGGAGTGGGAAGAGCTGGGAACATTCATATAAATAGACCTTACTTAGCTGGTCTGTCCCTAGAAGTAACACAGCATGCTAAGAGCCAAGGATTTTTAAAAACCCATCAGAGGTGGAAGGGATGCGGGCAGCCCCACCACAGCCCCTGCTGAGGATGGAAGAAGCTTCTTCTGCTCTTAACTTTTATCTTCTTCCCAGGCTGCTGCTGCTCCTGTCCAGCCCCTGGGCTCAGGCGCTGCATGTAGACGGCTGTGTTGGCTGGAGAGGGTCAGCAGGGCTGGAAATCCCCTGTGAGGTCAGACAGCAGGGTGATGGCAAAGGTCAGATGAGGCTCAGCGCAAGGGATGAGCTTGCTTGTCTGAAACCAGCTCTGGTCAGCACTATTGCCGTGAAGAGGCGATAACTTGTTTAAACTACTCAGGGAGAAGCAAGAACTTAAGAAGGGAAAGTGTGAGAATGAACAACCTGGAAACAGCCACCCCAAATCCAGGAAAAAAAAAGGGTGGTGGTGTCTATGGGCCCTTAAAAAGGGATGTACGCAGACACAGTGAGCATATCCTTTTGGAAAGGAACCACCTCTTGTGCCAGCAGGTTTTTCTCACCCTAGAAATCCCCTGCTCAGGGTGTTCTATCCCACTCATCGTGCTCCAGGCACAGGACAACCCAACTGAACAGCCAGGGCCAAGCTTCAGCCTTGCACCATGTTCTCCTAAATTCTCATGACAGCCAAGTGCCTTTAAGTGCTATGGAAAAACTTAATTTATCATGCTGGCTTTGTCTGCTAAAGCTCAGAAATCCTCTTAATGATGACTCGGTATGCCCTTTCACTCCTCAGGTAGCTGCAACAGGGTGAGAAGGAAGGACCAAGTGGCAAAAAGCTGAATTCCCAGAAAAGGGACATTGCCAGAGGGATTCTCAGCATGATGGGCGTTTAAGGCAAGCATTACCCAACTAAGTTGAGGACAGCAGGGACACAGATCTGTTAAAGGATCTGCATAGCAGAATAAGGAAGGAAAGGGCTGTTCAGACATAGATAGGAAGACTTAATCTCTACACTACAGCTGTGGAGCCCAGGACTCCCTAAATCCCCAGAACAGGATGCCCGGTACCCAGTGAAAGGCAGAGCATCATTGTGGGAAGGGACCATGCACCCAGAGCAGCACAAGAAGCAGGTACCAGCATGGGAAGGCTGGAGGCTGGGAAGGACCCACGGCCAGCAAGGCTCAAAGAAAGCAAAAAAATCCGGCAGCTCCAGCATTTTCGGCATAGTCTCCAATCAATACTGACAGCTTAATTAAAATTGCACCTGAATCTGAGAAGCTACACTAGCCCTAGTGTAGTTCAAAGGCTGTTTACAGCTAAACAGCAAGTCATTGCAGCCTGAGCTAAATCCAGTGACTTCTGAAACACATTATTCAAATTTAAAATAGCAGAGAGCTTTTTTTATTGCCATTTGCTTCCCATCCTCGACTGAGGAGCAGCAGCAGAGCACTCCATGCCCTCAGCTACCAATGTGCCACACTATATATATATTAAAAAAAAAAAACAAAACAAAAAAAACCAACCAAAACCACAACCTCAAAGTGTACTAAAGTGTTCACAAGTGTCTGGGCAGACTCTTTACAAAGATTGGGTTTTTTTGTTTGCTTTTTTTTTTTTTTTTAATTTAAATGCTGGAAGGAGAAACCAGGGCATGATTAGAACATTTCCACACAGCTCAGAAAGCAGCAGTGGGACCTCAGCCCCCAGTGCTGTGGAGGGAAGCACATCCAGCCCCAGAAAAGATGTTTTCTGGTCACCTCCACCTAGCTGGAGATGGCCCCTGTGGTCTGTAAGCTCAGCCTAAAGATGCAGACACTAACCCTGGTATTTCATTCCAGCAAGGCGGTCATGAAGCCAAAGTACAGATCCTTAAAGCCAGCATGGAAGAGGGGGTGGCAGCACTTTCCACATGGCTTGGCTCGATCACGACCAGCAACACCTGACACCTAAGATTTCTTGTTCAGCCTCTCCAAATACAGCTTTACAGACCTAGGAAGGATTGTCTAAAGGATTTTAAATTAAATGATAGTAGGATATATGCCCTGGTATATGGGTAACATGTTTAGCTTTAAATAGCACTGTGAGGGGAGAAAGAAACCCAACCCATAACTTAGAAAAAAAAAACCCCTAATTTAAAAATCATGAACACAAACAAGTGAAAAACTGACACTGAAAAAAAATCAGTTACTATGAATGCTGTATAAGCCTACCTTAATAGCATTCAGAGTCCAAACACCTTAAACGCACACTTCTAAGGGCTTTTTAATTTAATGGCATCTAGAAAACACAAACAGGTAGGTAGCACTCGGCAGAGACACACAGGAGGAAGGCGAGTTGCTATCACAGTCCTCTTAAAGCTCTAAAATTCACAGTATAAGATACTTGAAGCAACTTCCAGTATTCCTTAAATCTAGTCAACTATTAAGATGTGTGCATAGGCTACACCACAAAACCCTACTGTGTTCACACATCGGGGGCCTGAAACCCAACGGGGAGGAAACTCGGAGCGAAGGCAGCAGCTCTGCTCTGCACGCCCAGGTATCATGGCCGGAGTCTCAAGCTCCCTAGAGCTAAACAAAATCAAGAGGCAATCAGAAATGCTGCACAAAACTGAAGTCTGACTTTTTTAAACTGACTCTCCCGGCAGAAGGACCCATGGCTTTTTGAAGGCGCGTACGGATCCCGCGCTTGGAATATGCACGGATGTGGCTTATCTCCGTTATCCCTGACGAGGCAGAGGGAATACGACTTAAAAAAGTGACCCTTTGAGCCCTGCGAGGTGTGTCAGGGTCTGATCTGAAGAGGCTATGCGTGAGAGGGAATGCAAAATTGAAAACCTGTAAAAAATATTCAGTACAGTTAGAAATATGGCATACTTTTGTCACAATATATATAAAAAAAAATCTATATCCAACAGGATCCAGTGGAGTCTGGAAAATCCCAAGTAAAATGTCAAAGCGCAACTCCTAATAAATGATATGAATGTCTCTGAGTGTCAAGTCTTATAAATCCGAGGTCTTTGTGCTCCAGGTAGTTTCTTAGTAATTTTGCTGGGTTTCTTTTTCCTGGTGTTGTGTCTGGCAGGAATGCTACCTAGAAAGAGAGAAACATGGTAAGTCACAGCTACTAACAGCCATCTTCCTGGGAAAGAGAGGAACCTGCTTCCCTGAAGCTGTCAGAGAACTGAAATCAGAAGATGAGTTAACCTTCAATGGTAGGTGTGAATTCAGGCTCAGAGCCACCACCAGGCACCTGGCACAAACAACGCCCTGCTCCCATCCCTGAAGGACCGTATTTTAAAAGTTGCAAGTCCAGGAACCCTTAGGAAACCTGTCCCATTTTTATTTAGGTTTGAAGAGATAAAAAGCTCCACCACAATGTCTGCTTAACCATGCTGTGTCTCCTGTTGCCTAACTTCTTCTTGTTCCACCTCCCAAATCTCAGCAAGTACCAAGTTTGTTGGGATGAGGCAGGACACACGCAGGGCAGCGGATGGCACAGACCTGGCCAACACCATCATCACAGGCATCAGGATGGGCTTTACAGCACTGATGTACAGGCAGAGCTGGATTCCTCAAGCAGCTCTTTCCCAAAACCATCAAGACTGCAGAAAAGGGATCTTTCCAGGCAAGTCAGGAGCACGAGGTCCAGCTCAGGTACTGACACAGGCGGGGGTCTACGTGAAACCTATAGGTCAGTGTGCTTCAGGTGCATCAGAGGTGTTTGGTAAGGCAAAACAGCCTCATCGCAGGAGCCACGTAGCGTCTTTTAGACAATTTTGGCTCACTTCCACAGCAGGATTAGTCTGTATTTGTGACTGCTTCATCAGCCTTAAATGATTTAATAGGAACAGCCTGAGCAGGACTCATCATCAGCCAACAATAATAATTTTACTTAAACTTTGACCATATTTAGCCAAACCTCGCTTGCACAGAGATCAAGCCCCCTGCCCTGGGGGGAAAGCAGCACCCGTCACTCACTTATACATGGTCTCCCTACTTACACAGCCTCGCTACTCCTCTGCAATCTCGGTCTCCTGGTGTACAACCACTTTGGTCACCGACATGTCCGGGTGCTGCTCCTTTGCTGCCTTTATCGCCTGCGCTAGAACCTGAAAGAGACCACATTTCAGAGCATGCCACCGAGGGTCCTCAGGGGGATAAGAGACTTTCTAACTCTGGGGAGAGAAAAAGAAAAGTGATTCCACTTCACCTGCACAGTTTGGTGACTTTTGGTGGTATTAGATTTTTTTCTGAAAGGAAAAGCTGTTTTCTAAGAATACACTACATCTCTCCACTGCCCCATGGTAGAAGATGGATGAGAGCAATTAAGCAAACCCCGTTTATTCTTCCAGCAAGTGCGATGAGCACATTTCAGGTATCTTCTCCGACATTTTCTTTTGGAATTAATAAACTAGTTCTTGTTGTATGAATATTCTCCAGCCCCGTGATACTTGCAACTAAAATTAAATTCAAAGTATAATTCTCTGATGACAAAATCATCACTTCCAACACACTCTAGAGGCCAATGAGGCTGACTCATCAGAAAGGTTTCCTATAAAGCCAATGAGATTTAATGCAGGTGCTGAGTGCTATGAAATGACTTCTGGCACAGTAGCAATAGCACTTCAGAGTTACTAGAAAATTAATGCAGATCATCCAGATGCCAAGTAAAACTTTTATTTCACATTTTTGTGGATTTTTTTTTTTTTTTAAATTGCATTTGTCCAAACCAGTTCTGGAATCAAAACTTTGCTGCCAACACCAGTTTCAGAGCAGAATTAAGCTTTGCTGGCCCAGCTATACAGCTGCCTGCTGTCAAAGAGGAATTTATTTATTGAAATCAGTTTTAAAGTTTTATTTCTACCCCAGTAAAATTTCCCTAGGTTGTTTTCTGGTTAAGTTGTCTTCGGAAGGGCAGCCTGTCTAGTCGTGCCAGCTCTGAGAAGCTCTTTTGGACTGCATCCAAGCTCCTACCTGGTCGTGATCTACATCTGCATCTCCTGTGATGACAATCCTTTTTTCAATCCGTGTCTCTGAAATACCACCTTTTACAGTCTAGTACAAAAGGAAAAAACTACTGTTAGTCTAGAAGTGAAAAGGAATTTGAGTGCACTGGGGCTGCCTGTCTAAAGACGGTATCAAAAATAGTGTTACCAAATACTGCTGTCGTACCACAGCATCAGAATCATGGGGGAAAACTGCCACTGCTCAAAGAAAAAATGTCAAATATTCCTTTTCTTATAACTGAACAGGGAAGACCTTTGACTCACAGTCCATGTCCACAGACTGTACTGCAATTAATGCATAATCTACAGTCTTAATTCAGCACAGGCAAACCTGGGACCCTTGTGCTTTGTTTCAGGCATTAATCACGTTTTTTGAAAGGAACTTTCAAAAGCTATTTTTTCTATTATTCAACTCTGCCCGTCTCTCTATCATGTTGTTGTTTTAGTTGTTGTTGTTGTTTTATCATGTTCCTGTGGTGTTACCTTTGTGATCTGTGTGGTGGTGGTGCTGCTGGTGGTTTCCGAAGTGATGGTCTGAGCAGTCAGCAGGATGCCAGGGTCTAAATCTCCATTGCCACCATCTGTCTGTGGGATAGAAGAACAGGCCATCATCTCTGTGGGCAGCGTGGACAGAAGCAGGGGCTCCACATCAACAGAGCAGGATGAAATCCGAGGACAGAAACTCCTCTCCGTCATGGACCGCGGGACAGAGTGAGGTGATCTGCAGCCGGCTGAACTGCGCCCAGCTGCACAAGGACTTCGCAGGTCTCTGAAGGCTCAGCACAAAGCCCCTGGACTTTAAGGTTGGAAATGCAGGGATCCACAAAATCACCCAGGCAGGACCTATGACACTCCTCAGACCAGGTGGGCTGGAATACTCCCAAATCTGGGTACACTGCAATGCCGGTCATGCTCCTCCATTCCACGCTGCATGCTTTGGACCACGAAGGGAGACCAAAGCAGACACCTATCCTGAACTACACCTGCCTGGGTCCACGGAGGTTCACAAAGCCAGAGAGCACAATCTGATTCAGAAGGCACTTGCTACCTTTCCTCCCTCCTGACGCCACCTTGCACATCACTCGCTTTAAACTCTGCAGAAGCAAAGTCCAGATACCTGCTGAACCAGGAACAACTTCTTTTACAGCTGGTTACATGGTTCCCATCCTGCATGACTCGACTTTTCAAGGTCTGCTAAATAACCTAAAATAAGTCATCCTTGCCATCTCATCCCGGCTGCGTCTCCCTTACGGTGTACCACACACGAATGCCGGGCAGCATCCCCAGCAGCCCAGCACGGCAGTGGGACGATATCTGGAATTACCACAAGGTGGGACCATTTTCCACAGACTGGGAGAAATCTCATGGCACGTCACAAGCCAGTGCACGCACGGCCAACTTCTCCCAGCCTGGGAGACACACTTTTCCTTTTCATTTCTCAATTAGAAACGGTAACAGCAGCAACCGGAGCAGAACTGCTCTATTCATCTACTCGCTCACTGTGAAACATGGCAATGCTCACCACTGCCCGGTGTGGGCATGTCTGAATGCATCCTCTACTCCAGCAATCAGGGAGGATGCTGAGCAGCCACAGGATTCCTTGGGAATCCCAAATTATACAAGTGTGGTCCATGGGCTACCCATACCTGAACCTACATCCCACAGTCATTGCACTCCACCAGCAGAGCATGGGCTGCTTCTAAGAACCACAGTTATGACAAACCCAAAGCTAACAAAGGCTCCAAATTCTCAAATACACAAATAAAACCTATTTTAGATTGAGGATTAATTTTAACCTCAGCAATGAAACCATACCTGCATATGCTGGTATCGCTCCACTAACATTTCTATTTTCCAATCACCGGATACCCACTCTGGTTGCATTTTATACAAAACTTTTGGTTTTCCACGCCTGTTTCAGGGTTGAAACCTAAAGGACAATCGAATCATTCATATACCAAGTTCTGAAGAGCATAAACAGCCAGGAGAGCTGGAGAAAACAAGACAAGGCATCTCTTGCAGAAAAAAGTCCAACTCGGGTTAACTCCATACAGTCAAATCCACATTCTGAAGCCACCAGCAGCTGAAGATAATTTCTGTTTGCACACACATCTTGAAAAAAATATTACTCTTCAGGGATAGTAAAAACACTGCTGCTCTAAAAACACCAGCTGCACCTGGAAATAGCATCCACAGCGTCAGTTGACATCTGTGCTGTGACTCAGGTGCTTGGAGAAAAGCAGGTGCTGCTCTTTCATTTGGAGGATCTGGAAACAAAATGCTTACTTGAGTTTAATTAAGCCCCTGGAAAATTAATTAGAACACACCTTACCTGTGCAGCTTCATAGGTGATGGTCTTCGTCTCTGTGTGGACAATGGGGACTTCTTTCGTGGGAATTTCGCTTTTGACGGCACTGGACACATCGGAAATGGTGACCGTCTGTGTCTTCACTAGCGGTGGCTATGAGACAGGGTTAAAAACATCTCCGTAAAGACCCAGTTAGCATTTCCACGTGACCGTGCTGCTGGCAAAAGTTCTGACACTGATCTGATAAAAGCACTGTGGGAACCAAGGTCAGCCTGGAAATCTTTGGTTTTAGGCCTCTGGTACGACACACACTGCTCAGAGGGCAGAGAACATGCGTGAGGATTAAACAGACAGAAAAATCCTCCAGACCTTCCCCAACACCGTGCCTCAGCCCAAGCGAGGCATTAAGGATTTAACCAGTGTGTCACAATACCACGAAGAAACTGTCTGCACTGATTATTAACTTTCTAATTACTAGAAGCTCATTGCCAGCTGCCAGTAAAAGATGACCCTCATCTACTGATGACAATGTCAAGACTAGTAGAAACCCTGGGCAAATAAGACTTAATCACAGCTGAGAAGCTTTATCCTGACTGCAAGTGAAACACTCCATTATTAAAAATCCTCATCAGATCCTAGGTCTTTAACTTTTATTAAATCAATGTCAGACAAAACAGAAACATGACATCTTGAAAGAGAAATGGGGGGGGGGAAGAGAAATCAGTTGTTCCACCACCTGGTAAGTATCCAGAGGAAGACAAGAGTTAGTTCAGACCCACAGTGTTTTCCCAGAGGGCTCGATTTCTGCTCACCGTCCCCAAACCTGGCGGATGCCACCGTGATTGTTAGCAGGGGAAGTGGACGTCTATTTGACCATAAGCAATTAATATCAACACTGAAGCAGGCAAAAATATCTCCCACGGTGGGGAGCAGAAAGGGGATATGAAAGCCCACGTTCACAATGTAAAAACACGTTTGACAGCGCTTCAAATTTGCTCTGCTGCACTCAGGGTCAGCCTCCAGTACAGCAGGAGACGGCAAAAACCTTACAGAACTAAAATTACATGCCTTTGGAGCCTAAATATTTCCCTTTTGGGGGACGCACAAGATGCTTTGATCAAAGAAAGGCAAAGGGCGTTGCGCTGCGGCAATTGTATTTAATGCAAAGATAAATCGAGCGGGGCTCGTATTTAATGCAAAGATAAATTGAGAGGGGCTTGTGTGCACTGACTGCGGGAGATTAACTGGCTAATTAGCTCCAAGCATGAGTCCAAGCCAAGCAAACACAACTCCTCTCTGGGTCCGTGGCATCTGCTTGCTGCAGTGTTTGGGGTCCCACTCCAAAGCCAGCCGGGGGGGTGTGGGGGAGCAGGCGCTGGGGCTCACTACCTGGAAGCAGCGAATGACTGCTGGCAGCCCGTTATTAACATCTGAGTCGTGACACTCGCCATTTAGCTTTCTAAAGGCAAATCTGTCTTCGCCATCCTCTGCCACCTCCTCCTCTCCTCCCGAGGGCTGCCAGGGAGGTGCGGCAGGGCTGGCGGGGGGCTCCAGCTCAAAGAGCTCCGAGTCCTTCTCCGCATCCGCACAAACCCCCTTTCCACATCTCAGGTCCTCCTCGCTCGCGGGGAGGCTGGGAGCCGCCTCCTCCTCCTCCTCCTCGCTGCTTAGGGAGGAAGCAGCAAAGTCATGGCCGGGAGAAGGCTCTGAGGCGGGTGGCACTGGGGTCTCACTAAAAGCTACTGACTGCTTTGAGCCCTCGCATGCAAAGCCAGTGTTAGCACTGCTCCTCTCTGGCACTGCAGCCACATCCTCTCTGGAGAGAAAGTCACTCATTTTCTAAAAAGAAACGAATACACAAAAAAGGCCAGAGAGAGAGAGAGAAAGAGAGCGTTAGGGAGAACAGGAGGTCATGAAGCATAAAGGCAAAACATCGGTTTCTTACAATACATCACATCTCCAGTAACGCATGCAACAGCAGTGGGTTTGCACACTTGAAAACCTTTGTGCTATGCGATGTATCCAGTGCATTTACTGACACGGCTTTCCTGGTAAATTAATAATCCGCTCTCCTGAAGTTTAAGGAATTAATATTAAAACAACTCTCTGCACCTAAAGGAAGAGCCACCACTAAGCACTTTTTGCCCAGTTTGGAAACAGGAATAATGTCAGTGTAGCAAGTGGGGACTTGTGCACATCCAAAATTCACGTGTGCCACAAAACCCACTGACTACACCAAAACCACACCCCAATTCTGCTTTTAACTCCTTGAAATATTTTACGCTGTGTTTTAATTTGCACATGGAGGTGAAGAGAATAAGCCCAGAATTAGCGTGCACAATAATCCACGGAGCCTGCGCCTTGCTCTTTTCTTTGCCCCTGGGAATGCTCACACCTCTGAGCACCCTCGTTGCTGTTGCAGTCTCTGGGATAACTAACACAGACTTGTCATTATGGCATTGGTAAAATTATTGTAAGAATATCTACAAGTTAGTATTGAAATCAACTGCTTCAATTACCATGAGGCTCCTGAATTGGCGATGCAGCGTGGTCATCTGAAGGAACTTTTACTATTTCTTTGAGACAAACCGATTCAATTAACTTAGCACAAAACTTTTCAGCTGAGGAGTAAAGAAACGCGGCTTTAAGCTGGAAAGCCAGATGTTCACACCAGTGTGTGCTGATCCCATCGCCACCAAGCATGCGGTTCAGTTGACTGCTTACAAGCTGCATTTGCCCATTTATTCAGGACTATCGAAATATTTGTAACATACTTTATCCCAAAAGCAGTTGGCGCACAAGAAACCTTTGCGGTAGCTAAACTTCCCGAAGGTGGAACATAATTGGCATTTGTGATGGTGCACCCCAGAGAAGACACATAATGAAGCAACTCAGCCCTCCGAGAAGCAAGCAAGCATGTCTAGAGCACCTGAGATATTTGGGAAGAGCGTGCCAAGCCAGAGGGTTTAACTAAGGCTGGTGCTATTCTGCTCTCCGTTCAGCTCGTTAGCAAGGTCTCAACTAGGTCTTCTCACATCTCTGGGAGCCCTCTAGCCAGGAGGGAAGCAACAGTGATAGAAGAGAAGAAAAGAGTTAAAACATGAACAAGACAGAAAGCTTTAGCAAAAATCAGTTGTTTGCCCAAATGCCCAAGTGATGAATATTTCATATGCACAGAGAAGCAGCATTTCAGTCACCAGCAGTAAATGATGGCTACAGTCCTGCCCTGTGCTAGAAGTTGTGTTTCTCATTATTGACATGGAAAGTTGCCTTCAAGGAAGGGCAGAATAAGCAGTTACGGGCACCTACAATTTTACACATATCAAAGTTGTCGCATCATCCAGCATCAGGGAACAAGGAGGGAAAAAAACCAGAGGGATGCTGCTATTTCTTCTCAATAATTAACCTCATGGTTGATTTCTGGTAACTTTGTATAAAAATAGCCACATATCTGTTCGTCCAAAAACAGTGATTAAATTTTCATAAAAGCATGGCAAGTCCATTTTGTCAACTGTTATTCTAGTTTTGGTGGCGGTATTAAGATGAACAGAAACTGTTGCCTCACTTTCTATTACGAAGATTCTCTGGGCAACCAAAAAACTGTAATTTGTGCTTAAAATGTGAGGTCTGAACCCTGTGGGTTATCCGGTACAATGCATTTTCTGTACACCAGAGGCTTTCACCCTGATTGACCTCATCTAATGGCACAGTTCAACAGTATGTTAAGAACAGGAGCTGCCTTATGTAGGAACAAATAGATGCTTATTTTAGTATCACTTCAAGAAATGACTCTTCCACCATTCCTCCTGGGTATTTTTCAGTTCCCTGCTTCTTTATGTTGCAGATAGATTACCTATAAGGTTTCTCTCCATTAGGATTTCCAGCCTCTTGGGCTTCTCTTAAGTTCTTGGGATACTGCTTAGGAAAACGCACTTAACAGGAATGAAGGGACAGCGATCAGCACTGTGGTGATCAGGTCAGACCACACACACAGGGAAGTGTTATTTCTGATCAAAACCCACTTCCATACATGCTCCTCCAAAGGTATATCCACCTCCTACCCTCATTTTGCCTAACGCAAGATACTATACTGCAATATTTCACAAAACAGAATAGGAACGGAGGTTATCAGCTTTGAACACCCACGTCTTAATCTTGCTTTAAAACCTGAATTTATATACTGCCACTATACTGATCTTTCCTTAATTATATATGCTAAATCTTGCAAATTAATCAGGGGATCTTGAAAAGACACATCTTCTGGGGTTTAATGGAAAATGCCTTAGGAGCAAGATTGCCTTATACCAGCTGGGGCACTACTTGACCAAGAGGAAGAAACACAGAGAAAACAAAGCAGATTAAGCAGCTACACAAACGTAGATCTGTTTCAGAGACAAACATTTGTATACAGTCAAAACAACTTCCCAGCTCCCTTTCATATACACAAAAAATAATTTGCATTTTCGAAGTATCTTGTATGGTAAAAGCATAAAGGAAGGGAAAAGCTTAAATGAAGCCTATGGCATACATATATTGCTTGTCAGTAGAACCAAGTGCAGCAATAAACATGCAAACTATAAAAACGGAATGAAATCCTGATAAGATCAACCGATCAGAAGCGCTTTTTTTCTTGCCTTCCTATTCTACCAGTAAGAAGACAGGCTCATTGAAAGGTATTTGTTTCTATATAAAATTATCTATTTACACACACCTTTTTTCTGAAATACAACTATGCTTGCACCTATATTTAAAAATGCAGCTTGCATGTAGGCTAGAAAAGATTATCTTTTTTATAAAGAAAAACAAAAAACCCCTAGGAATTTGAACATCTGTTACAAATTCTGATCTTATCAAGATTTATTTTAATTTGCAAATGCAAAAGCATTCCTATTTTTAGGGCTCAGATTTGCAGAGTTCCAAGCTCTCCTTGAGACCCATGAAACCTGGGAGTGCCTGGGCTGCAAACTACTCATTTCCAGAGACACAAAACCAAACCAGGGATGTCTAAATCAAACAGGAAGCAGACTATTCGCACAAGCCATACGCAATGTAAAGAAAATACAGGACATGATGCAGTGCCCCAGAAGAAACAAATCGAACCAGACATGAATGCGACTAAACCATTACCCTGCTAAATACAAATTTTTGTGCACCTGATGCTGACAAACACTGAGGATATAGCTTAATTTAAGCGTTACAGTGGAAAAAAGTGACACACAATAATTCAGACTGGGGATAAATTAATAACAGGCTTAATTTCATGGCTGATACCAGCAACCAAAAGGATTTATTTTTCTTAAAAATTGTTTTTGTATAAATTTGTTTGCCTGTATTTTTTCAAGAACCTACTATTTTGGATCAGGATATATTCGTATGAACCAGCTGCCCTGCACTGCCAGAACGGATACCCATTTTGTGTATGTAGGCGTGTAGGCACGCTGCTGTCTCTCCCCAGAAATATTCAATTATCCTCATCCCAAACCAGACTCCTATCCTGCGGGAAACTTAAGGAGTGCAAAAATGATGTCAACCTGCCAGTTACCAAAGACATTTGATAAAAATTGATAAAACCATGAAATTACGGTGCATGCTAACTCCCTACAGCCACCATATGAAATGCTATAAATTCCAGCTAGTTAGTACTTCCCAGTCCTGTTCTTGTTCAGTATGGCATTGCAGTCGTTAATGCTGGCGCGTGTTATTAGGTTATCCCCAAACAAGTATCCACGTAAGCTAACAGGCTCGGTGTGACCATCTACAGATGCACAAGTAGATGATGTTGCTTTTGCAGCGAACCACACTCACCAGTCAGAACTCCCAGATCAAATGATGCTCAATCTCACAGCTGTCAAAGCACTTGGGTAAAAAGTATTATAAAGCAGAAAACAAGAGATCCTTATTTTACAGTACCTGCCATGCCTTATAGAACTGCTCTGCCTTAAAGATAGAAGTTAAAAAGTTTAGAAGCCGTTCAACAAATCCTGGCATTTGAAAATGATGGCCATTATCTACGGATTTGCATTTTTGGATGGATTTTTTAATTGCCATTGATCTGATCACAACATCCTGACCAGCCTAGTCAGACAACAGAAGGATAAAAGAGAATTTGACCAAAGTTAAAAGTAAGGCTAGAAAATACACAGCATGGTACAAGCTTAAAAAGATTAAATTGCTGTCATGAATAAGAATCCCAGGATATTGCACAATACACAACAGCCACCTCCAGTCCACTGCATCAACTACTTGGCAACATGAAACAACCTCAAAATCAATACTTAAATTATTAAAATAAGGTTGCTGAGCAATGATTCCTTTCCCCATCCACCCTGATCCCCTTCCCATCCCTTTTGTGGGGCAGGTACTCTTGGATGAGGGGCTTCTTATTCCAAATTCCCCCTGCAGAGAAAAAGCTGCTAGTGGCATTGCAAAAACTGCCTCTGATTTAGTGTAGCAGCAGCAGGTGAAAAGAGCAGGGATACCATCAGGGTTTATAACTGACATAAATTCTGTGCTCCTGCATTTCACTTGCTTCATTTCATAAATAAAGTTACAGCTCTGATCTGGTGCCAGGCTCATCCAGGAGAGCAGCAGCACAAGCCTTGTGCCGCTCCATCACAGCCAGATTTGCTTTCCTGTGATCGCTCGTGACTGCACAGAATGAGCCAAACAGTTTAACCAGAAGTAAATAACCTCACAGAAGAAAAGTTGGGAGTTAAAATTAAGACTGACTTTTGATACAGCCTCTAGACGCAACTTCAGGCAGCTTCAACCAGCTAAAACCCAACCAGAGGTCTGCATTGTATAACCAAGCAGAAAGGCGGTGGTTAATTAGGGAACAT